CTATAAATAACGACTCTGACAATGCCTATTAAAAACAGCAGAAATCGAAACTAAACTATTAGATTATTTCTCTAAAATTCAATTCCAACTTCATAAACTACTCCAAAGATAAATCAAAGATTAAAAAAGAAAAAACCTTCAATTTGATACTTGAGCGGGAACCCTAGATGAATAACTGAAGCTAATTCCAGTATGGCAATTTCCAGAAAGTTCAAACATTGAAACATATTGTAAAGATTGTAGGATAGTAGAACGTTGTGTACCTACCCTCCAGCACTCCAGTGGTGTTGTCGAAGAAGAAGTATGAAGCCAATGTCGCTATGACGAGCGCTGAGCACTTTAGCTAACTGCTTAATAACAATAATAAGTGTTTATTGTTGGGTTAATAAAAGTAAACAACAAATTATAAAGAAATACTTGTAATTGTAATTCTCTCCTAATCTCCCACCCTCCCAGAAATAGACACTTTTTCGGACAGTTTAACAAATTTATGGGGTGAACTAATTTATGACATTCAATTATTATAAATTTTGTAAGAAGATTTTTAAAAGGGGAATAAAGCATTTTTCTTCCCCATATCATTATAATAAGGATTTGGAGTTCATTCCACCAGAGGTCCCTAGTCTTTAGTTGCAATTCAAAATTTAGTCTCAGATTATTATTTTTTTGTCATTTAACATTCCAGATTTTTATTTCTTGGACATTTTTAATTTTTTTCATGACTTTTTCTATTTTTAGTAAGGGCATTTTTATCTCTTCATATATTTTTTTGTTATTTTTCCGATTTTAACCGGTTTAACTGTTTAGGACTTTACTATGATTTTCTACAAAGTTAAAATTTGTTATGAGACTTGTAATATTATTTGATAACTTATATATGTAATAAAATGTATTATAATTTATATATAAAGTCCAAGGGCAATTTATATCCAGGGCCGGCCTTGGGACAAGGGCAGGCTGGGCCCTTGCCCAGGGCCCATGCTTGGGGGAGGGCCCATCCTACCTCTTATATATATAGTATATATGTATTGAGTATAAGTAATTTATATACATATGTTTTACAGTAAGGTAAATTAACTTTGTTGGTAAGATACTTGAATTTTAACCTCATTTAATCAAAGGCTGGTGATCCAATCCTTCCCTTCACATTTTAGAATTCCTCAAATTTACTTCTTTGCTTATATTCTAATGTATATTTTAAAAATTTATTTTTATTGATTTTTTGTGTTTAATACGGAGTCGTATTTTTAATATATAAATTTTCATATATTTATACTAAACATATTATGAAAATTTTTTATATTAAATATATAAATTTTTATATTAAATTTTTAATGCAATTTTTAAATTTATAAATTTTTATATACTTATATTAAAAAAATTTCAATCAACTCATGTTAACCAAACAAGACACGTCAAAATAGGATGGTATCTAATCAATGTAGTATATAAGTTTGCTACTGGCTCTATTATACTTTCTCAACTTACTGAAACACAAAGAACCAACGCCTCCACTAAGAGTCAAACTTACAACCTTCCAAATGAAAGTCCAACCCGGATACCATTAGACCACATAGTCTTGGTTTAAAATTTATCTATTTAAAAGAAAAAGTATTTATAAAAATCATCATATAAATAATATAAAAGATGTGTGATTTGTAATATGCTTTATGTTCAAACTATTTTATCTAGATAATTATGTTTCATATCTTTTTGGATTTTTTTCATTGCGTTTTGAAATATTTTAATTTCTTGCTCCTAGTCAAAAAAGATTTTTAGCTTCACATATGTTTGTAATTATTGTTTTATAAATTTTTAATAATAATTAATTTATTATTTATTATGATAACAATGTTATAGTTTATAAGTTTACTCGATTTTAAATCATTTATTCATTTTTAAAAAATATGATATTATTTATTTATGAAGGCACTTATACGATTATTTATTATTTTGCATTAAGGAAAGCACATAGAATTTTTTTCATGATTATTGTTGTGTAGGTAAAATTGTTAAAAACTTGTTAATCTTATTTAAAGTTAATGATATTAATAATTTTTTCCTTATTTAATTTAAATTTTAGGCATGAAATATATATTAACACTGCTGGAAATTATGAAATTTCCGACTACTTGAAAGTGATATTAAATCAAGTTGAAAGTAAAAAGTGGTCGGAAATTGCAATAAAAGTTTTTCCGGATACCAAAAGTGGTCGGAACAAGGATTTCGACTTGATTTAAGATTACTTTCAGGTGGTCGGAAATTCCATAATTTCCAGCAGTGTAACCGGGACCCATCTTTTTTATCCTGCCCCGGGCCTATAAAATGATAGGACCGACCCTGTTTATATCGTGCACCACGGCGCACATAGCAATATGCGCCCAGGCACAAAACGTCGTCGTTTCAATTGCTGTTGACGAGGATTGACATAACGGACGCCACTTCGTCCATTCAAACGGACGCCACTTCGTCCGTTCAAACGGACCAAACCTCATTATGTGTATTCAGTTAAAATTTTATGTGTATTGTGTTATGAGTTTATGTGTATTATGTTACGAGTTTATGTGTATTCAGTTAAGAGTTTATGTGTATTATGTTAAAAGTTTATGTGCATTATGTTAAGAGTTTATGTGTATTATGTTATGAGTTTATGTGTATTATATTAAGAGTTTATGCGTATTCTGTTATGAGTTTATGTGTATTCGTTATGAGTTTATGTGCATACGAAACAAAAGGTTTTTTTTTTTTTTTGGACAATGCACCAAAACGACGTCGTTTTGGGTAGGGCGGGCGCACAATGCATTTGTGTGCCCTGGTGCACGATATAAAGACCAGCTAGATTTTGCCTGGGTCGGTTTCGAGCTGGGCTCTAGGTTATTTTTTTTTATAGGACCTGAAGTTCTGAACCGGTCTTCTATAAGCTGGTCCACTTTTGGGTAAACTTAGTCCATACTTATTTTTTTTTTCCTGATCGATTCATGACCGGCTCGACTTTGAACCTGCCTATGTCCACCTCTATAAAATTAGATGTTTAAGTTAGCGGTTAACATGTAAAATGACATATATTATATTATTATAATAATAATAATAATAATAATAATAATAATAATAATAATAATAATAATAATAATAATAATAATAATAATAATAATGATGATGATGGAGTTGTGCGCGCGACTCCCTTTATTTTTTCACTTTTTTCAACAAAAAAAAAAAAAAAAAGATTGGAGCCTTGTGTCTCCTTATATAAAAGCATCAAGAGTCAAGACTCCTTAAATTTGCCTGCACATCAGTTGATGCACAAGCATTATTGAGGAGCCAGACTCTTTTAATAGGGAGCCAAAATAGCTATTCTATTGAAGGAGTAGGGCTCATGATATTTAGTATAAGTTTTGTTTAAAAAAAGAAAAAAAAAAAGTTACAGTGGCATTTTGGAGAAAGATTATCTTTTTTAAAACATCAAATTAATTTCAGTTTTAAACAATTTCGAACAAATTCTTGCTCCAAACTATTGAATAACCAATCATCTTCTTTGATATTTTGACCAAGGTTAAAACGTTAAAATGGCTAATTCACAATTACCAAACAAGCCCATTGTGATAAGATCATATAACGACTTGCATCTAAGTGTGAACGTACGTACTTTAAAGTATACCAAAATTAGAACTCTAAAAAAGTGCATAACACAAATTATAAATGTGCATACTATGATATTTAAACATGCAATTCAAAAATAAATTTCATAAAAAAAAAATGCATAACAAAAAGTCTAATAATCAATAATTACAAGTGGAAGCCTCCACTAAGACTCAAATTATCCACCTCCCACATAGGAGATCAACAGAGTATCAATAGACCACAAAGTCCTTATATATAAGTGCATAAGTTTGTGTGTTCATATCTGAGCGCATGTTTTTATTTAATCCATTTCATACATTAATAATCATAAATAATAATGATTTTAAGATTGGAAAGTGCATGTGTAATCAAAATGGATTAGAAAATTAGCAAAAGCGAACATGAACAGTTTATGAACAAAATTATATACCAAATTGTAGGTTTGAAAATTAATTTTGTGGGTATTAGTCTTTTTTGTAAGTTACAATGCATTTGGTATAATCAAAATAATCTAATTTTACATTTTACCAAAAAAAAAAAATCTAATTTTACAATGTTCTTAACATATTTTTGTTCTTACACCCGATCTATTCACTCTTGGTGTCCATTTTTAACAAAGAAATCCTAATTCCTCAATGTTCAAAATTACGAATCTCACATGACATCAAAAGTATATATTCCCTCTTCTTTAGTTTTTTTCGCTCTATATATTTTTATTGTGTGCGATTTATTTCACTATACACAATACATATATTGCTTTATTTTTAGGGTTACATATACACATAAACGTATTTAGTGTTAGGATTATAAATTAATTCCATTGTCGTATGTAGCTAATTTTAAAATTTTAACTGTACCCAGTATAAAATTAATTAGTTGTTAAAATTATTATTATTTTAAAAAAAAAAAATCTATCTATCCTAAATTATTTTGAACTACAAATTACATTTGATTTCAAACAACAAATAATATTATAAATAAGGCAAAATGGATATTTGTACAATGTACAAAAAATTGCAAAAGTTATTTTTAAAAAAATGTAGTTAATTTATTTTTTCATCTGGCATTAAAATTTGAAATTAAATAATTTAATACAGTTTATTTGCTTGTTTTGTTTTTTTGGAAAACTATTTGCTTGTTATTTAATATAAATTATTCTATACATATATAAATGAATACAAAAACTTGTGTGAACCCGTATGGCGGATCCTTGTTGTGAAACGGGTCAGGTCAAGAAAAAAAAATAATATAATACTTATACTAGTAAATGTAATACTAAATAATGAATAAAATTAGTTGTTACTTAAATGAGAAAATGTAATACTTTTTTCACCATAATCAAAAGTATTATATTTTCCATTATTTATAATTCATTACTTTTAAGGGAAAAATACAATACTTTTAAGTTTTGATGAAAAAATTATACTTATACATCAAAATGTAAAAATATTACATTTATCCTCAGGTCAAAAGTATAACGTCATTTTCCCTTATGTTGGGTGTGATTGCAAGATTTAGGTGTAAGGTGTATGGTGTGAGTTGTGTAAGTGCGGGTGCCTTCTTGAACTCCAATGAGTTGAATTCGTTTGTGTTTTGGTGGCTTGGAGTAGTAGTGATGATGTTGGGTGCAAATTGAGGCCTTTGGGAGATGAAGAACCCTAACTAGGCATGTTTTTTTCAGATTTGGGATTGCATGAAGATGAGAAGGGAGATCTATGAGGAAGTCGCCCAGCTCATCTGTGTTGCCTTTTATCCATGAAGAATATGATGCTCTTCTTCCACTTCTGCTGCACAAAATACCCACCCATGCGCCTGCAAAATACGCTAGATAGGCATCAGTCGGACGTTAAAGGCCTGCCTAACGCCTAGGCAGAAGACAAAAAAAAAGGTTGTGGGTGTGTGTATTGTGTATATATATATATATATATATATATATATGATTAAGGATCAAATGAGAACACTTAAGTGTGGACTAATTTTGGCCCTTGATTTTGTGTTGATCTATGTGCTGATTTTTTAGTTATTTATGATTATTTGTTTAGATGTATTTATGTAGGGGTTGTTTAGTAATTATGGTTGTATTTATAATCTAAATATAATTATATTTTGATTTTATGCATGATTTTAGGGGTGTAATTTTACTAAGATTCTATCTTATATTTTCAAAATCAAAATATAATATGCCTTGTGATAATATGCATGAGAACTATGAACAATTTATATTTTGATTTTATGCATGATTTCAAACTTCATTCGTGTGCATTTCAAGGGCATCGTCATGTGCACTATCGATATATATATATATATATATATATATATATATATATATATATATATATATATATAATTTTTTTAAAATAATAATAATTCGATCAGCCAACTAGGTGGTGCCTAAATGAAAACTCGCCACTGTCGGGTTTATAATAGTGATTTGGGACAATCCAAGTCAAGTTGACTCGGTAGCCACAAAGTTCACTCGTGAGAGATGTTTTTTTTGTTAAAAAAAAAAAAATTGAACTGGTCAACTATGAAAAACTTTCTTTATGATTGTTTTATAACTAAGATCAGAATGCAAGTTTCACTCAAAACACACATTCAAATAAATCAAAGAATAAACTAGCAGCGGATTTCAGGCAAGGCACACTTTCGGATAAATCACAAAATGAAGTAGCTTTTTCTAACCTCATTTTACAAAATTTTTGGCCTTATAATAATCTTATATGTTACGAACCTGAGATGGGATGAAGAGATCTAGACGACCTTTCATCGTCGTCGCTGCAAGTCTGGCAAACAACTTTACCTTCAATTTGAACGGTGGAGATCTTGTCTTCACCATAGCCAAACATTTTCACAAGCTCCTCTCTATAAACCTCATCAATACTAAGATTCGCCGTCGCCGGAGATTCAAGAATTACAAGAAATAATATGAAAGCTAGCAATAATGGTGACGCCATCACCCTGCTCATTAGGAAGGCAGAGCTCCCTTGGCCTTGAAGCTTCCGCAACATCTCTGATCTATATTTTATATATATATATATATATATATATATATATATATATATATATATATATATATATATATATATATATATATATATATATATATATATATTATGGTCTTTGGGGCTGTAAGGTTGTTCGTAAATCACAAATCTTTTAGGTGAGGAAAGGATTTTTAATTTTATATTTGGATGTGGAATGAAGAGACAATGAAATCCTACCATCTTTATTCGATTTACACAAAATGGATAATTAGGGTATATTTGGTTGGCATATGGGAATCAGAATGAGAGTGTGAATCAAATATTTGATAAGGTTAATAAGTTTTGGTGAAAGTATTTACATGCTTGTTTGTAAATATGGTGAAATTAGAATGATTACCAATATTAATATTTGGTTATGTATTATTATATAATGTGAATAATGTTTTTAGAATATAAAAATAAAAAATCATGATAATTGATCCAAATATAATGACATCCAAAGCATTAATATGAAGAAAAAAAATCAAAACAAAAATCTAAAAGTACTAATTCAAACTTAAAAAGAGTTAATTACCGATTTGGTCACTCAATTTCACCAATCTGGTCCTCGACTTTTAAAATTCTTCAATTTAGTTCCCGACTATGCTTTTTTACCCGAAATGGTCTTAACCGTTTCGTTAACTCGGGACCAAATTGGTAATTTCATTATAGTCAAGGGACCATTTCGGTCATCACATGCACCATTTCGGTCGTCTGCATGATGTAAGCCGAGATTGCATTCAGGACTGACTTCGTCAGGACCACTCGTCCAGCCAGAGATAAGGTCTTCGCTTTCCAGCCCTCAAGGCGACCTAAAATATTATCAAGCAAAGATGAAAAGGTATTGCACGTAACCCGTCCATGAAAAGCCGGACTCCAAGGTATTTTCCCAAGTCCTTGGTGCTCTCTATTTGTAAGTGGTTCGTTATTGCCTCTGCTAGCTCCGAATCGGTATTTTTTGAGAAGTAGACTTGTGACTTGCTCAAACTGACTTTATGCCCCGCCAACCCGCAGAACTGGTCAAGGCATCATTGCACCACCACGGCTTGATCCACTGACGCCTCCGTGAAGAGAACCATATCATCTACAAAACAAAGGTGGGTTAGTGTGGGTCCATTGCTTGCTAATTTAATACCTTTCCAAACGTTTCTGTCGACTTCCGAGGTGATGAGCTGGCTTAGCCTTTCCATGCAGAGCACGAAAATTGCCGGCGACATTGCATCGCCCTGCCTGATCCCCCGTTTCGGGCTGAAGGGTTCAAGTCGTTCCCCATTCCAAATCACCGAAAGCCTGGGGGTACTGATGCACGTCATTATGAGGCTTTTCAAAGTAGTTGTGAAACCTGCTTGTTCAAGAGTATCCTGAATGAACTCCCAGGACATACGGTCATAAGCTTTTTTCAGGTCCAGTTTGATGGCCATGTATCCTTTTTTACCCTGCTTCTCTCGCATAGAATGCATAACTTCCTGGAAGATGATGACGTTGTCCGATATCTGGCGCCCAGGGACGAAGGAGCTTTGATAGGGTTCTACTAGCCTCGGCAAGATAAGTTTAAGCCTATTTGTAATTGTTTTAGTAATGATCTTGTAGCTGACGTTACAGAGGCTGATGGGCCGGAATTGTTTAATTGTCTCCGGTGTCTGGACTTTAGGAATCAAAGCGATAAGAGTGTCATTCAAGCCATCCGGAAGAGCTCCTGTCTCAAAAGCCTTACTGACAAGGCTGAAAATGCTATCCCCCGTCTTGTCCTACGTTTGTTGGTAAAACCCTGCGTGGAAATCGTCTGGCCCGGGGCCTTGAAAGGTTTCATATCCTTGAGGGCAGACTGGACTTCCTCTTTCGAAACAGGCCTGTTGAAACACGCCCAGTCCCTTGGGGAAATGAAGCGTTCATAGAATAAACTGAATCTCCGTCCCCGGCCCTTGAAAAAATCCAGATGTAGAAGTTTCTAACGTGGTCTCGTAGTTCACTCCCCTTGGTGATCCACGTTCCATTCTCATTTCTGAGCTATTGCATTGAGTTGCGCAACTTACGTACCATTACGGTTGCGTGGTAAAACGCGATGTTTCTATCCCCCGAGAATATCCAGTCTTCTCTGGATTTTTGGAACCAGATAAGTTCTTCCTAGTGCATGATCTCTTCAAGGTTTTTTCGGAGCTTTAGTTCTAGCTTTGCGAGTCCTCTATGAAAGTTTGTCGCTAAAGTTGCCTGAATACCTCTTAAACGAGCCAGTATGACCTTCTTACGAATAAACACGTTCCCAAAGGAGTTTCTATTCCAAATCGACAGCTCCTTTGCCATGTTCCGAGTATTTTCAACGATGCCTTGATCTGTTCTCCAGTGACTCTTCACAACTTCATGCATCTCCGTATTAGTGAGCCAAGCTGCCTGGAAAATAAAAGATGCGGCCTGCGTTGGTTGCCGCGCGCCCTCTACCTGAATTATCAAAGGCGCATGATCAGATGCTAAACGTGTTAAATTGGTAACGCACGCATCTGGGATCTTAGTGCGTCAATCAGCATTACACATGGCCTGACCAAGTCGGACTCCTTTGGAGGTATCCGTGCTATTCTTTATCCACGTGAGTCTTGGCCTAGCGAAGCCCATGTCAATGAGCCCTTCATCTTGGATCCAATTCCCAAAATCAGAATTTCGATGATCTAAGAAGGAGTTATAGTTGCTGGTTTCGTCCCTGTTCAGGACCGAATTGAAGTCCCCGGCGACCATCCAGGGCGCAAAAATACCACGTGCCAATTGTCTAAGGTCCCTCCAAAGCCGTCGGCGCAAGTTGTGGGCCGGGCTCCCGTAAACCGTTGCTAAAAACCAAGGACGTTGGCCAGTTTTCTGTACCTACAAGAGGACAAACTGAGGGTGAGTAAAGAGGATCTCGACCTGCACCAGGTCTTTCTAGAAGATCCAGATACCCCCACTGAAACCAACAGCTTCCACCCGGACCCAATCCGAGAAACCGAGTTTCATGCAAATAACATTTGCCTGGGTACCCGAGACCTTTGGTTCGAAGAGGCCCAAGATGCAGGGGTTGTGCATCTGGAGGAGTTGTTTAAGGGCGCGGAGAAACCGCTTACTACCCGCACCCTGACAATTCCAGAAGATACAATCCATAAAACACAACCAGGGGGAGGGAAGACTAAACAAACAAAAACCAAACGAACAAACAAGCAAAAAACCAAAAAAAAAAAAAAAAAAAAAAACCAAAAGCAGGGCGCTCAAAGAACAACCTCGTTACCTCCATGCAAATGCTGTGCTGGGCCTAGTTCAAGGTCCATAACCACATCCCCCTCGTCATCGAATTGCTCCGGCGGATCACCATGGTGCTCCGTTGGGTGATGCCAAACCGATGATGGAGCGCTACCACCAGTGTCCCATACGTACACTCGCGATGACTGTATCACCAAGCCGCCTTGCGCACCCCGTATAACCACATGCTCATCCTCCTCCATTGCCTTCCTCGATCTGCCACCGGTTTGCCTCTGCACTCTGGTTGTGGTTGCCCCCGCATTGGACGTGGAACCCTAAGTTGCAGTAGGTTCGTTTGCGATTTGTTGTTCCGTAGCTATGACGTTCGGTCTGCGCCCCTTTCCATTATGCCTAGCTGCTCTATTTTCTGCGCCAATTCTTCTTGCTTGTTGATCTCCAGAATCCCCGTCAGCCTTCTCTGTGCTTTCTTCCCTCGCATCAGCCGCGGCATCCCCGTTAGCCTCCCCATCAGCGGCGCAAACTTCGAAGCTTGAACCGTCACCCCATTGCGGACTCTGCCTCCTTCACCTTGGCCAGCCGAAGGACGATGTGTGCGTTCAACTGGTTTCGAAGTTGGCCTTCCCCGACATGCTGGTGCGATCATCCATGCTCCAAATGGGATCTTGGGGTCCATGATCTCTGTGTTGATGGACAGGCTCCGCCGCCGCGGCATCAGCCACGCCGTCACCGTGCTCATCCTCTGGCTTTCTCAAAGACGGGCATGCTTTCTTTGCGTGTCCATAGAACCCACAGGAGAAACACACCATGTGCATTCCTTCATACGCGACATGCCTACCTTATGCTTCCTTTGCGTGTCCATAGAACCCACAGGAGAAACACACCATGTGCATTCCTTCATACGCGACATGCCTACCTTATGCTTCCTTTGCGTGTCCATAGAACCCACAGGAGAAACACACCATGTGCATTCCTTCATACGCGACATGCCTACCTTATGCTTCCTTTGCGTGTCCATAGAACCCACAGGAGAAACACACCATGTGCATTCCTTCATACGCGACATGCCTAACTTTTCCTTCATACGTGAGCTTCGATATCAGGGGCTTTCTCATGTCGATCTCTACACATATTCGGGCAAACATGCCACGAGACACCAGACTTGTGGCCTGATTGACCCGAACCGTTCGTCCGATACAATTGTCATAGGGAAAAACCGCCACTTTTAGAATAATTGAGAAGGCTAATGTGCTTACATGAATAATTCAGGAAGAAAATATACTATAAACATATAATTCATGGGAAAAATGTGTCATTTTCCCTTAAATTCATTTAAGAAAGTTTATTTGCTTGTTATTTAATATAAATTATTCTATACATATATAAATGAATATCTGCAAAATACTACAATAAACAAAAATTATGGTGTCATTTTCTTCATGTACATGTTTTTCATTTCCCAGTTTTCTAATTTTTATTCTCTATTTCTTCAGTTTTTCATTCTCTAATTTTGAACTAAAAAATGTCCATCCAATTATTTGATTAAATGAATGGTTCAGAGTATTTTTATTTTAGTATTTTTTTTATTGTTTTCATACTTAACCCCTTATTATATCATTTACTTTTTCTAAATATCCACATTTTGTCAGTATAAACTTTACTAACGTAATATTCTAGTAACTTCTTACTCCGTATTATTTTTAACTTACTCATCATTCATTTCCATAAGGAAGGTCATATGACCAAACCTCACCCCAATCAAAATTAACATAATTGTTGAACGTATACTATGAATATATTAGATGAGACACACTACTCCAGCCAAATGCACACGCTGCGTAACAAAAACCACATATGGCCGTGCTTTTGTGGTAAACTATTTTCGTCTACATGAATGAACATATGTGCACCCACTGTAATTAATTATGACCAAACTGCCCATTGTGCACCTAGAACACACGAAACACATTTGCACAAACCGGTAAGACCGGATGCACACGCTCATCAAAGTACCACATTCAAGAAATAATAAACTCAGACTTTTGTCCTTTCAAAAAAAAAAATCTCAGACTTTTGCACACGCCAACAGTCACAAACGCACACACCTACGCACCACATACAAAATTAAAATACCGAACAAACTTACCGACGACGTCTTCTGCCATGTGCAAACTCTGCATGACTAACTTTAATTGTGGTTCTTCACGCACGGAATTTTTTTAAAATCTTAGTATTAAAAACTAGAATTATTTCTTACCATGGATAGGTTTCCTTAAAATATGGAAAAGATTCTATTTCATTTATAATCAAATTCAAACAACATAATTAAATTACAATCTCACCCTTTTGTATTATTTTTTCTTAATATAATTTCTATGTTAATCCCAATCCTATCCATTAATTTCAAATGTATAGATGGTTGAGGTGAGATTTCACGATTTCATTTAATTAGGAAAGTCTCACTAGATCCCGTTAGGGTCAGGTTCTTGTGAGAACAGAGCTTCCAGTGCGGTTTACATAATTAGGTATGCATGCACCACACATTGTTCAAAAATATACCGTTATGTGTGGTGCATTTTTTTTGTGTGTGTGGTGTATTTATACATACCTAATCGTGTAAATCGCACCGACCGCACGAAAAATCGTTTCTCATTTGAACCAATATATATATATATATATATATATATATATATATATATATATATATAAACACAAAATTTGAGTGGAGTCAATTGACCTTACTACTTCATACTTAGCTCCGCCACGCTTACTTGGAATTGTAATTTTAATATACTCCCTTCCTTCGATTAATGAGGCTTAAGTTAATTTTAATTTAAAATTTTATAATATTAAGTGTAGTATTAATATACAGAATTTATATATTTAAAAAGGAATAAGGTTCAAATTGGCCACTGAACGTAACCTGAAAGTGCAATTAGGTCACTGAACGAAAAAAAAAAAGTGCAATTAGGTCACCGAACACTCCAAAAATGTGCAATTTCACCTGATAGCAGGTTACCCTCAATTTTAGCAGGTTATCTGCGTGGCACCTGAGTTGGCATTTTTAATAAATTTTAATAAATTTTTAATAAATTTTAATAATAAATTTTTATTAATTTTTTTTTTAAAAATAAAAACGACTTTATTTTATTTTTTATTTAATTTTTTCCAATTTTTTATAAAATTTATTATTAAAATTAATTATTAAAAATTATTAAAAATGCCAATTAAGCTGTCACGTAAGCAGGTAACCTGCTAAAATTGATGGTAACCTGCTATTCGGTAAAATTGCATACGTTTGGAGAGTTCAGTGGCCTAATTGCACATTTTTTGAGTGTTCAATGGCCTAATTGCACTTTTTTTTCGTTCAGTGGCCTAATTACATTTTCAGGTTACGTTCAGTGGCCAATTTGAACCTTATTCCATTTAAAAACAACACTAAAACTATTATCAAACACAATTTTTTTAAAAATAAATAAAGAAAAAATAATTGATTTGACCAATTCAATAAATAGTAAGACAAATAAAATGGGATATAGGGGTATTACTTTGTGAGTTCGTGATACGGTTCTAACATTTCTTTTCTCGCTGCAGTGTGGTCTAGGCCTAGCCAAGTGATGCCTTCCGTTGTAGTACATGCCCTACCGTATAAAGGTCTTCCTGCATTCAAACTAGGCGAGGCAGAGAAGCTGCATATTCAAGATAAACTGCACTCATCTCCCTTTATATCATATCACTGTAATAATTAATGGAGAAAAAGCATAGAAGGTCCAAATTAAACTAAAATTTATAGTATTCATCATTCGTTATTACAAGTTTCATGAATTAGAAATACTAGGAAGTCTAGTCCAAATACATTCAACTATTCTTCTTGTATTATAATAATTTTTACTTGAAAAATTTTGTGGAAAATTGCGCCACCTCTTTGTTGCAAGGTAATAAAACGCTCCTTTGTCATCACAAAACTTTGGAAAATATATCTTGTTAGCAGTTCCTCGAGCAGTTGCTTCTCGTGACAAAGATATCTTAGAAGAAACGTAAAAAGATTTTCCTTTCAAATTCTCAATCTTTACCCAAACCATTTTAGAATCAAGCTTCAAAACCTGAACTTTTCCTCCTTCAAGAGTTGCCACACACATGAGATGTCCATCGCTCTCTAAAAGGAATCGATCTCGAAATTTTTTAAATTGTTGTCCATGTGACTTACCGATGATATTCCAACAAATGTAGTTGGCATGCTCATCTTTCGGAATCTTGAGCTTCCCTAGATTTCCAGATTCTCGTAAAATATAGATATATCTATTGCAAATAACTGGGGCGCAACTAGAAGCTATAAAATCTATATCATTTCCTAGTTGTGAGTATAATGACCATGAATTTTCACCCAAATTCAATATTCCTACCGTAATAAATTTTGATAAAACACTAACTATACCAACAATTTGACAACTAGGGAAAGTTGGTGATCCGGAAAAACACACAAATGAAAATGATGTATCTTGTGTGTCTGGTATGTCTACCGTAGCTTTAGTTAATGGGTTGAAGAAGAAATAAGATGCAGCACCTTTTCCAAGAAATAACCAACCATTATTTGCATAATAAAGTTGAACTTTACCACTATCGTCACCCAACAATTGAGGAATGTTAAGTGAAAAGTTGATATTACGGGTCGGATCATAAAAATTGAACAAATCAGTTTTTTTGTTCAAGTACATTAAATGCAAGTTTTCATACGAATCTATATCATATAGTGATTCATGTTTGAGTGAGATTGAAAATGAAGGGCAATGTAGTAATATTGTAATTGACTTCCAAGATTTACATACTGATTGAAAAGTATAATAATCTCCAATAGCTAAACGTCTTAGAATACATGATAAAAGCTCCTTGTTTAGATTTGACCAATCCTTTTGTGTAGGAGCTTTATCAATACTAATTATACTACTACTACTCATGTTCTATATATTAAAAACCAAATAGAAGTGTACCTTGTAGGCGAATATTGAGTCTACACAAACACTAAATTATTTCTGCACTTCCCTCTTTGAGCAAACTTTGCAATACTCTAAAATAAAAATCTTTCAATATAATTCCTCTATATATAACTACTTATGAGAGTCACTGTTTCCCGCAGGATTAGGATTCTTTAAAGGATTAGAAAATTCAAAGTACACTCCAAATACTATTATGTTTAGGATTTCGAAACTTAATTAAATTATATACCTCAAATACTAGCCACTAGATG